TGATGCTGAGGCAGGCTGAGGCTGAGGCTGAGGCTGATGCAGGCTGAGGCTGAGGCAGGCTGAGGCTGAGGCCGAGGCTGAAGGCAGACTGAGGCTGAGGCTGAAGCAGGCTGAGGCTGAGGCTGAGGCAGGCTGAGGCAGGCTGAGGCTGAGGCAGGCTGAGGCTGAGGCTGAGGCGAGGCAGGGCTGAAGGCAGACTGAGGCTGAGGCTGAAGCAGAGCTGAGGCTGAGGTAGGCTGAGGCTGAGGCTGAAGCAGGCTGAGCTGAGGCAGGCTGAGGCTGAGGCCGAGGCTGAAGGCTGAGGCTGAGGCTGAAGCAGCTGAGGCTGAGGCTGAGGCAGGTGAGGCTGAGGCTGAGGCAGGCTGATGCTGAGGCAGGCTGAGGCTGAGTCTGAGGCTGAGCAGGCTGAGGCTGAGGCAGGCTGAGGCTGAGGCCGAGGCTGAAGGCAGACTGAGGCTGAGGCTGAAGCAGGCTGAGGCTGAGGCATGAGGCAGGCAGGCTGAGGCTGAGGCTGAGGCAGGCTGAGGCTGAGGCTGAGGCTGAGAAGGCTGAAGATGAGATGCTGAGGCTGAGGCTGAGGCAGGCGAGGCTGAGGCTGAGGCGGAGGAGGCAGGCTGAGGCTGATGCTGAGGCAGGCTGAGGCTGAGGCTGAGGCTGAGGCTGATGCAGCAGGCTGAGGCTGAGGCTGAGGCTGAGGCCGAGGCTGAAGGCAGACTGATGCTGAGGCTGAAGCAGGCTGAGGCTGAGGCTGAGGCAGGCTGAGGCTGAGGCTGAGGCTGAGGCTGAGGCTGAGGCTGTGACTGCGACTGCCGTTGCCACTGCGACTGTCATCGCGAATGCGACTACGACTGCGAGAACAGCAGAATTCTACAACTGGATTCTCCTCTGAATCTTAAGGGGAATGCTTCCAGATATGCTCCTACACATCGCTGTTAGGTTGCTTTGCCTGGATAACTCTTGTCGATCCTTGCTGGTAGGGCCTTCTGGAGCTTTGGCTCGGGCGCCTCTGCCAGCGTCTGCCAGGTGGGGAGGTCGGCCGGGTCCGCGCCCGGGCGGGGCGGCGGCGGCGCCATCCCCGCAAGCCCCGCTAGCGCGGCGCGGCAGGCGCGGGCAAGGGGCAAGGGAGTCACCACCCACCAAACCACCCCAACCCAACCCGAAGGCTCAGATTTACCCTCGATTTCCAGTGGGGGGGGGGTCGGGAAACATCGAAAAAACACGCGTGGAACCCTTACCCCCCCCAACCCGAAATTCGGGTCTTCGGGTTGGGTTGGGGTGGTCTGGTAGGTAGTCAGGGAGGGGCATGTCTCCAGGTCCGCCAAGCAAGCCAGCCCCGTGCGCTCCCGCACGCCGCTCCAGTTCTGCGCCCAGGAGCCCGCCCAGGCCGCTGGCGCCAGCTGCTTCTGGCTGCGAAAGCCGCGCCCGCCGTCGCGCAGCGGCAGCCGGCACTGGGCCCTCTGCAGCTCCGTCAGCGGGTCCAGGCGCGCGAGCTCCTCGTAGGCGGCCAAGAGCGCGTCGTCGTAGGCCGCCGCGGCGGCCTCCGAGGCCCCCAGCGTGTTGATGCGGAGGAGGTGCGTGAATTCTGCTGGCCCCGGTGTGCCGGAGCAGCAGAGCGGCGGTGTGCAGGGCGGGCAATGTGCGGCGAGGCCTCCGCTGGTAGGGCTGCGAGCCTGGCCGGCCGTCTCCGCGCAGCGCTCCGCCGCGAAGCTCTCCCCGCCGAGGTCCACCCGGCGCGCGTCGCTCTCGTGCGGCAGCCTTCCAGGGGGCAGCGCCCCTCCAAGGGGGACCCCCACGAGGGTGAGGTCGCGCGCCACTGCTCCTCCAGTCCCGGAGGGCAGGCCGCCCCGGCGGACCAGGCCTGCGTCTTCCTCGTCTCCAGCTCGAGGCTCAGGCCGCCAAGGGTCCTTTGCGCCGCCGTCTGCGCCCTGGCCGCGAGCGCCAGGGGCACCAGGACAACGGCATCGTCCAAGTAGGCAAAGACGTGCACGTCGTCTGGGTTTAGCCCCTGCTGCCGAGCCGCCTCTTTCAGGTCGTTCTCCAGCGCGGGCAGGTGGGGGCGCAGCCCGCAGGCGAAGAACAGCGGCGCCAGCGGGTTGCCCTGGTCTACCCCGCCTCTGGAGTGCAGGCGGTGGCAAACCCCGGCCGCGTCCCAGAAGTAGTACAAGGACTCGTGGCAGAACAGGTTCGCGTAGGGCTCCTCCAGGCCGCGGAGGCAGGCTTCACGGTGGGCAGAAAAGTAGGCGTCTTTGGCGTCAAGCGCCACCAGCACAAGGTCGGGGTTGGCCTCCGCCAGAGCCCTCGCCGTGTGTGCTAGCAGCTCCGTGCCTGCAACAGTGCCCACGGCGAACTGCTGTCTCCCCAGTGGCTCAGCCAGTTCCTCTTTCCGGGGGGTGACCAGCGCCTGGCCCACCAGCCGCCGCAATTAAGATATTCGGCGCGGCGATAGGCCGGACCCCCCCGCCCGGCTTGCGCAGCGGTGTCAGCTTCGCCAGCGCCAGGGCCGCGGCGGCGCATTCGGGGACCCGCCCTTCTGCCACGCGGTCGCAGACGCCGCAGAAAGCCGCCAAGGCCACGGGTTGGGCGAGCACGACCCGCTAGTGCTCGAAGCGCCCGCCGGCCGCCGCGCCGCTGCCCTGGGGGCTCGCCTGCAGTGTTTTCCTCAGAGCCTGGTAAGAGAGCGGCGGCGGCCCAGCGGGCAGGGCTGCCGCCGGCGGGAGCGCGGCGGCCGGGCGCGGCCGGAGCAGCGCCTGCAGCTGGGTCGCCGTGTCGCGTGTGAGCGGCGCGAGGCCGGGGCTGCTCAGCAGGGCGGCGGCACGGGAGCACTCCTCCGCCATCCCCTTCCGGATGACTTCGTCGAGCAATGGGGCGGTCGTCGCGGCCCCCTCCGCCAGCCTGCCGGCGTGCTTTGGCCAGTCCCCGGGCCGCGTTGCGGGCCGCCCCCAGCTGCGTTTCCCAGTCGCCGCGGAGCAGCGCGGAGCAGCGCTCGCGCACCAGCACCGCGCGGTCCAGAGTCTCCGCCGCCGTGCGCTGCTGGCCCCTCGCGTCCAGCTGGAGCGGGGCGGCAAAAAGCAAGCGATCCCGCATCGCGAGGAGCTTCCAGGCGCGCCCCTCCTCCGTGCTCCCAGCCAGGGCCCGGAGGACCGCCTAGCAGAGCTCCTCAGTGGCCTGCGCGGCCGCTGCCCGAGCGTGCCGCGGGATGGCCCGCAGCGTGGGGCAGTCCAGAGCAAACTCCTCCAGCAGGTCGAGGCCATCCAGCCCTGCCCAGCAGGTGGCCGAAAGGTCTCGCGGGGCGAAGGCCGGAGCGGCGCCCGCGGGAGGCGCGACCTGGCGGCGGGGCCGGCGCGGGCGGGCCGCCAGGAGCAGCAGCTGCCAGGCCTGCGGGGGCCGCGGCCCCGCGGCCCGCGGCCCCCGGGGCCGGCGGGGCGCCCAGTATGCAGCGCCGGCAGAGAAGCGTGTCGCAACCGCCGCGGTAGCGGAGCCAGCCGCCGGCTCCCGCCCCGTCACACATTACACACATATGTTTCCCTCGTCTCTGCCCGGTGAACCTCCGTCTCTGTGCCGCAGGCAGGCAGGTCGGCCCAGGGCGGCCTCCCCCACGCGGACGCCAGCGTAGCCGCACCGGCGCTTCAGTAGGGAGCGTGCCGGTCGCCCGCGCGGCGCGCGGTCCGCCACCGGCGGGCCGTCTCCAGCAGGGCCTGGTCGTTGGCCGCGTCTGTCCGCGCGAGCTCGTCCGTGAGCTCGCCCTCGGAGCCGCCGTCTGCGGGCGCGTCGGCGGGGACGTCGTCCGCCCAAGCGGCCCGGCCGCCGGCCAGACTCTTCTGGCTTGGCGTCGTGCCTTGGGCGCCGGGGCCGGCGCGGCGCTTTCGAGGGCCGCGTGCGTAGCGCACATCGCCGCCAGGACGGGTTCCAGGGCACCCGTTGTTGCGAAGTCCCCGGTGTCCAGCGCCTCCAGGAACTCCCGCGCCGCCAGCGCCAGGGCGGGCGCCTCCGCGGGGGCCCCTGCCGCGGCGGCCTCGGCCCGCAGTTGCTGGAGCTTGGCCTTGCCCTCCTCCAGTTCGTTCCCCAGCGCCTCGGCGGTGCTCCGGGCGCGGGCGAGGGCGAGCTCCGCGGCTTCGACGCCCTTCGCCGCTTTCGCCGCCCAGGCTCTGGCGCGCGCCACGAAGCCTTCCGGAAAGCTCTCGGAGGCGAGGGGGAGCTGCGAGAGGCAGGGAGAGAACGAGCAGGGAGGGCCCGGCCAGGCTGCCAGGGTTGGAAAAACCTCGACTCCCGGCGCTCCTCCTCCTCCTCCTCCTCCTCCTCCTCCTCCTCCTCCTCCTCCTCCTCCTCCTCCTCCCTCGCCTTCCACTCTTCCTCCTCCTCCTCCTCCTCCTCCTCCTCCTCCTCCTCCTCCTCCTCTCCTCCCTCCTCCCCTCCCTCCCTCGCCTTTCCACTCTTCCTCATCCCCCTCCTCCTCCCTCCCTCTCCTCCCCTCCTCCTCCTCCTCCTCATCCTCCTCCTCCATCCTCTCCCCTCTTTCTTCCTCCTCCTCCGCCTCCTCCTCATCCTCCCTCGCCTTCTCCTCTTCCTCTTTCTCCTCCTCTTTCTCCTCCTCTTTATCCTCCTCCTCCTCCGCCTCCTCCTCCTCCTCCTCATCATCATCATCATCATCATCATCATCAACATCATCATCACCCTCACCGTCGTCATTATCATCACCATCATCATCATCATCATCATCATCATCATCATCATCATCATCATCATCATCATCATCAGCATCGTCATCGTCATCATCATCATCGTCGTCGTCGTCAGCAGCAGCAACACCAGCAGCAGCATCATCAACGTCAGTATCATCATTTGCATCATCACCATCATCATCATCATCATCAGCATCATCATCATCATCATCATCATCATCATCATCATCATCATCATCAGCATCATCATCATCAGTATCAGTATCAGTATCAGCATCATCATATTTTTCCTCGTCAGTTTGTCTTTCGGCTCTCTGGAAGGATGCGGGCATCACGCGCGTCAAGGGCAAGGCTGTGAAGGACGACAAAGAAGGTTGGATCACCAGCAAGGGGAATGCTGGTACGGTCTATGCAGAGCCGAGCAAGAAGCATTGGTCCATAGTGCAGGACCAGCCGATGACAAATCCGCAGGGAGGGGGGGAGGGGAGGGGAGGGGGCGACGCGGAGGGGGGGGAAGGAGGCAGAGGAGCAGGAGGAGGAGGAGGAGGAGGAGGAGGAGGATCGTAGTGTAGCGCAAATGCCCTTGAGGGTAGGCATAACCCTTTCAGATCGGGTGGGGCACGCAGGCTCTCCCATCCTTGAAAACGGTGCTCGTGAAGGTTGTGACGCCAACCTTCCGGTCCCAGAGCCTGTGCGGGGACCGTTGGAGGCACCGTTAGGTGTGGCGGGGGAGCTTCACGATAGCTCCTATCGCCGCCACACCATGCCAGTGAGAGGGCGTGAACCGTGTCACACCGCCTGGCCAGGGGATGGGCTGGCATCCCCCAGAATAGAGTCAGACGCTGATTCCCCAGACTAACGTCAGACGCTGGACTCCCCCAGAATAACGTCAGACGGCTTGCTACCCTGGTGGCGCCATGTGGGCCTGCTCCACGGGAGGAGGGATCGCGATCCTGTCGGTGACCGGGGGACCCACTCCACAGCAGGGCGGCGATGGGGGACCTGCTCTACAGCAGGTCGGGGCGCCACCCTGAGGGGGGCGGGGGGGATCTGTGCCACTGCGGGTCGGATCGCCATCCTAGGGGGGATACGGCGGCCCGCTCGAAAGTCAGACGGGTCGACCCTCAGGATGAACGGTGCGGTTCCCCCCTGCATTGCCGCCACTGTTGCCGCTGTAAGTTGACACCGGGGATCTGGTCCACAGAAGAGCGGACCGCACCCTGGGGGAGACCAGGGGGAACCGGCGGTTCTCGGCTGGGTACCTCTCCACGGGGTGACAAGGGTGCCCTGCTCCGACGCGGGCTCTTCGCCACTGCAAGGATGACGACTGGTCGACTTCCTGGCAGAACTGATCGTCAGCCTACGGCTGAAAAGGAAACCTGCTCAACCGCAAAGCGGAGCGCCACTAGGGGCAACAGGGCGACGCGAGCTAAAATGGCGATGGCCGTCTCACGACCGCTGGTCAAAATAGACGTCGTCGGTCGTGCCGACGGCTTGGATGGCCCACGGAAGCTGCGCTGGAGTGTTGGGACGGATGCAAGATATGCGCCTGGAGTGTCACGGGCAGTGCGTCGCGCACCGTCTCTGTGGCATGTGAGTCTCTCGGCGCCTCCTGCCATAGAGAGTGCCCATCTTTGTGAGCACAGGGCCCAGGGTGCAAACGAGCAGGATCGAGGGGGGGAGGTTCGTAACCCTTATTCCCCCTCCCCCTACTGCACATGCGGTGCCGCTTCCTTTTCCGTGCCAGTGCATCTTCGGATACGATGCCTGCACCACGGGTTTCCTGAACACTGCTGCTGCAATGCAGCTTGAGAGGAATGAATATCGTGCCAATTCGTCGGCGGACTCGATAGCTTGCACCACTGGTTTATCTAGCCACTTCTGCGGAGGAGGAGGAGGAGGAGGAGGAGGAGGAGGAGGAGGAGGAAGAGATTGACGCAATGGTCATCCAGCCAATGTCGGTCTAACGTGCTGCAAAGGAGGAGGAGGAAGAGGAGGAGGAGGAGGAGGAGGAGGAGAAGGTGGAGGTGGAGGAGGAGGAGAGAGGCGGAAAGGGAGGGGAATGAGGTGGGGGAGGGATACATGCAGGGGTGAGGACTGCCCCCGTCCCCTCCCCCTACCGCTCGCCCTCCACTCCCTCCCGATGCCCCCGCTGGCCCCCTGCCCCCCGCAGCCCCAGCCTGGCCGCTCAGGAGCAGCCCCTGACGAAGCTGTTCAAGAGCACGGGGGCGGTAGAGGAGGTCCGCAAGCTCGAGGCTGGCGAGGCCGTGCTCCTGCTGGAGGGCCCCAAGGATCCGCGGAGGAGGAGGAGGCCCGGATGCCGCTGATCGTCCCGTGGAGCCCTCGGCCGCCGCGGCCGGGCTCTCCTCGGAGTCTTGGCCCGAGCGCACCTCGGGAGGGGTCCGGGGGAGCAGCGGCATCGGCATTTGCATGAACAGCAACTTTCGGAAGTCCGCGCGGGTTTCTTGGAGGAGGAGGGAGGAGGGAGGAGGGAGGAGAGAGGAGGGAGGAGGTGCCCTGGAGCCCTCCTCGGCGGCGCCTCCCGCTCCGGCCGCCCCCGCCGGCGCGCCAGGGAGGGGGGCCTGCAGCGCAAATCCAAGAGACCGTCGTCGTCGTCGTCGTCGTCGTCGTCGTCGTCGTCGTCGTCGCAGCATTCATGGCTTATGTCGCTCCGCCGGTTCTGGCCCACCACGCTTCGGTGCGGCACGCTGTCCACGTCCCCACTCCCAAGCGTGTGCGTCCCGAGCTTTTCCCGGCCTCCCGCCCCGCGGAGCGGAGCGGCCCGCTATCCAGTCGCAGGGCATAGCGTGTCGCCGGGGCCGCCGCGGTGACACGCTAAGCAAAAGTTGCCGACCGTAAGCATTCGGGGTCCGCGCGGATTTCTTGGACCGATGCTGGGCCCCCCTGGCCGCCGCCCCTGGCGCGCTTCGCGCGCGAGAGGGCGGGATGGTGGGTGCATCGCCGATCAGAGGTATCCGCGCGGACCCACAGAAGTTAATGTTCGTTGCGCTCCCGACCGTGTGCGGGTTCTCGGCCACGCGCAGAGGGGGTATAGGGCGAGGGGGGAAGGCTTCGTAGAAACACCCCTGCTCCTTAGAGTCTAGAAGGCGAGGGCCTTACATCTATAGACAAGGCCCGTGCCTTGTAAGAGGCAGGGGTGCTTCTGAGAAGCCTCCCCCCCTCCCCCCGCCCCCTCGCGCGCGCCGCCAATATTCCTTCCTCTGCAGGAGGAGACCTTCCCCCCCGAGACGCGGATCAGGGCCAGAGCGCTCAGCGACGGAGCGACAGGCCCTGGCGGGGTCGTCGTCGACCGCCCAATCTCCGCGCAGGCCCCGGCCGGGCCCGCCCTGGGTTTCTTGCCGCGGGGGTGGCCCGGCCGAGGTCGGCGCGGGCTAGGCGGGCGGCGGCCTCGGGAGGCTGGGTCACGCTCAAGGGCGCCGCGGTGAAGAAGTGGTCGCCCTTCTACAAGGTGGAGGGGGGAGGGGGGGAAGGGGGAGGAGGAGGGAGGAGGAGGAGGAGGAGGAGGAGGAGGAGGAGGAGGAGGAGGAGGCGGAGGAGGAGGAGAGGAGAGAAGAAGAGGAGGAGCAGGAAGAGGAGGGAGGAGGAGGGGAGAGGAGGAGGAGGGAGGAGGCGAGGAGGAGGGGGAGGAGGGAGGAGGAGGAGGAGTGAGGGGATGAGGGAGAGGAGGAGGAGCAGGTGAAGCGAGGAGGAGGAGGGGGAGGAGGAGAGGAAGCGTGGGATGAGGAGGGGATGAAGAGGAGGAGGGAGGGGGAGGAGGAGGAGAGGTAGTGTGAGGAGGGGGAGGAGGAGGAGGAAGAGGAGGAGGAGCAGGAAGCGGAGGAGGAGGAGGAGGAGGAGGAGGATCCGTAGCCATTTTGGCTCAAGCCATTTCTCGAGGTGGCTTACAGTGAGCTATTGAGTTTTGCGCGATCGCCTGCTCGAGCCTGCCCAGGCCTTGCAGATTCTTTTCGTATCCAGCGTCACATTCATGGGTGAGCGCAGTGCTCGCAATGAGGTGTGGTGTTGTCCGAAGAAGAAGTGCGGTTTCAAGACGAACTTCTCTTGGAAGCAGCACTGCTACAAGTGTGGCACTGCACGCCCTCTGGCGCCTGCTCTGGTGCAGCAGCAGCGTGGGCCGCAAGGTGTCTGGGCGAACGGGCCGCCTCGCTCAGCCGTTGCACGGCCCAAGCACAAGCATCTGGAGCCTGCGCAGCTTGAGAAGATTGTGCGCATGTCCGACGACGACTTCGAGGTGTGCAAAGGGCTTCTCTCGCCGTCCCAGCGCGCCAGAGTCGTGGCTCAGCGTGCTCTCGCTGCTGGCGACCCTCGTGCTGTTCAGCGTCATGCGCAGTCTGTGCTGGACGATCTCAAGAAGCAGATCGGCCACGTATCCAAGCAGATTCAGAAGGTTGAGTCTGACATGCAGAGCAAGGTCCTGGAGCTCGTCAAGCTCAAGGACAACCTCACGTCGCTTGAGGGCCAGGAGCGCGTCGCCTCCGCCAAGGCCTCGGCGGCATGGGCACAGTGTGCTGCTGGGGGTGCTGGAGCGTTCGACGCCTCTGGCGCAGCGGTTGCAGCCGATGACCCCGCCTTCGCGTTGCTCATGCAGTTCCAGTCCTTGGATGCAGGTTTGGCTCGCTCGCTCCGCACGTTGTTGGAGACGCGTGGCTCGCTTCTTCCTCCTGCTCATCCTGATGACGAGGCTGCCACCGATGACGGCTACGAGACCGACGACCTGGACGACCTCAGTGGCGACGGTGATGCCATGGAGGATGCTCCACCTGGACAACCGCGTGCTGAACCCGCTCTAGCCAACGTTCGTGATGTGGAGGCTGCTGCGCTGGCGGTCTTCGGTCGTCCGCCATCTGAGTCCCCGTTTGCGCCTGGAGCCTCGCCTGTCGACTCGCCTTGTGGAGGGGGGACGGGTTTGGACGTGGGACGGGGACGGGATGGGACTGGGGCGACAGCGGCCTGTGCAGGCCCGCCGCCCGCAGCTCGCGTGCTCTCAGGATTTCTCAAGAAGCTTTCCACTGAGCAAGGTTTCAACGCCTTCCTGGCACAGCACAAGATGCCGCGCAAGCATGCGGAAAACATTCTTGGAGGTATCAACTCTGCTGCGCAGGAGAAATTTCGGCTCACTCCCTTCAGTGAGGGAGACGGCGCGGCCAGCAGGCCCCCGTCAAAGTCCTAGTGCTGGCCAGGCCAAGGAGTGGACCCTGATCACCGCCAATGTTGGAGGGCAGATCGGGCTGGACGCCTACTTGAGTGAGTGCATTGCTTGTGACGTTCTCCTCGTGCAGGAGACCAGAATCCCTTGCTCGTCGGTGGAGCCGACAGAGGCGCGCCTCCGTCAGATTGGCTGGTCTGCCTCTCTCACGGCCGCGCTGCCCACTCTCGGCAACCCCACTGGAGGGCTGATCACAGCCACGCCCAAGAGGATTGGTCTTGGAGTGCTTGAGAGTGTCTCGCCTGTGCTGCAGCCTGCGCGTGCCAGTCTTCACCATGTGGGAGGGATGATTCGTGGTGGATTCCTGGTTGTGAACCTTTATTTGGTGCATTCCGTCGGGGTGAATGAGGTCAACTGGGACATATTGTGCCGCGTCGGCAGGACCCTCAAGGCAGCTGGCACAGCGTTCGTGATTGGTGGCGATTGGAATATACAACACACCGATCTTCTGCAGACTGGGTGGGTCGATGCTATGGACGCAGTCATTGTTGCTCCCGCGGGCGGCACGTGCCGCCCAGCCATGAGGTGCATCGACTTTTTCGTCGTCCCGAGGGTCATTGCAGGTGCGGCCAGGGCGGAAATCGTTCATGACGTCCCTATTTCCCCCCATTGCCCTGTTAGGCTCGTCTTTCCCCGTATTGAGCCCGTTGCTGATGTCAAGTTCGTTAAGGTGCCCAAGCGGTTTCCCCTCGAGTGCCCCGTTGGCTGTCTGGGGCCCCCTGTCGAGGGTAGGTGGGGGCCCGCGGCCGCGCTTTGTTCTGATCCTCACGCCACCGCGCAGGATAAATCCAATAGGTCCATTCGTGCGGCGGAGGCCGAGTGGCTCTATGTGTTCCAGATTTCGGGAGAACGTGCTGATGGGCATGTCGGAAGAGACCTGCCTTTGAAGATCTCTTCTAAGAAGCCCCCTTGCCCTGGGCCTCCTAGGTTCCCGAAGCTCTCCCCGCTTGCGTGTTGGTGGCGCAAGGTCAGCGTTCTTTTGTCCAACCTTGCGCGAGATCCTGTCGGTGCCCACAGGCGGCAGCTAGTTTCGGCTGCTTTTCGGCTTTCAGGTTTTCACCAGCTCCCCAGCAGTGGCGTCTATGCCGCCTGGGCGGCAGCGTTGCGCCAGGCAGACCTGCCGCCGCTGCTCTCGGCCAAGGCGCTGGCAGAGCTGGCGGACGTCGAAGCCAGGAGGCTTCAGGCACAGTCGGCGCACGACAAGGACAGGGAATGGAATAAATGGGTCGACAAGCACTCGTCAGGGGGGATGTCGGCTTTGTTCAAGTTCTCCTCCCTCCCTATCGGCTGGCAGCCCGATGCCCTTGATCACTCCACCCTTCGCCCCTGTTCGTCGGTTGAGTCGGTCGAGGCCTTGGAGGCCGAGTGGAAAAAGTGGTGGTCCGTTGGTTACGTTTTGCCCCCTCTTGAGTGGCCTGACCTTGGTGCGCCGCCTGGGCGCCCCAGTGTTGATGAGCTCGTGCGGGCCCTCAAAAGCTTCAAGCCTGCTACTGGCACTGGTTTTGATCAAGTCTCGCCCCGTTCCCTTTTGCTTCTGCCGCCCGCTGCTCTGGAAGCCTTGTGCGAGATTATTTCGCACATTGAACACAAGCGTGAGTGGCCTGTCATGTGGAACCGCATTGTGTTCATCCTCAAGCGGGTGGGGGGTCTGAGGCCGCTTGGGCTGCTTCATGTGTTGGCTCGTGTTCAGTGTCGCCTGAGACGCCCTCTCATCAGGCAGTGGCAGGTTAGAAATTTTCGCGCCTTCTTTTGGGCAACCCATGGGAAGTCTCCGGAGCGTTGCGTTTGGATTCAAGCTGCCTGGTCCGAACATTCGACGTTTAAAAAACGTAGCTGTGCCACGTTGCTGTTGGATATTAAGAAGGCTTTCGAGCTGGTTCAGCGCCGACATCTCATCTCGGCTGCGCAGGCCACCAGCTTTCCCTTGTGGCAATTGTACCTCCTGGTGCAGATTTATCGGGCCCCTAGGCTGCTTGATGTGGCTGGCGAGGTTGGGTCGCTCCTGAAGGTTGAGCAGACTGTAGTGCCAGGTTGTACACTTGCCACTTGTATGCTTCAATTGGTGCTGCTAGGCCCTCTCGACGCTGTTCAGGCTTCCTTCCCGACGGTCCAGCTGTCGGTTAATGCTGACGACTTTGGCCTCATGAGATGGGGCACAGAGTCGAGAGTGGTGCAAGACATCGTCGGTGCGGGCAAGAAGCTCCACAGCGAGCTCAAGGCCGTCGACCTTAGGATTGCTGTCGACAAGTCCCGTGTGCTTGGGAATTCGCCTGCTGTTCGAGCTTCGATCGCTTCGAAGCCCTGTAGCCTCCAACCCCTGCCCGTTAGGGCTGAGAGAAACCTTGGTGTGGACTTTTCCTCTGGGCTCGCTGGAGGGGGCAAGGCCACGTCCGCCTCCCGTGCCAAGGCCATGGGCAGGAGGCGGCAGCGCATGTCGACCCTCAAAGGCTCCAAACCTGGTCGCCGCGTGCTTGGACGCATGGCTCGAAGTGCCCTGGAGTCCTCCGTTTTGTATGGGGCCGCCGTGGTGGGCACCAACGGGCAGGAGTTAGAGGTTCTTAGAGGTGCTGCTGGTAAACTTCAGGACGATCGCATGGCTGGCAAATCTCGCACCCTGGCCTTGTTGTTGTCCCCTGTGCCCCGTTTGGACCCCATCTTTAGGGCCACGTGGTTGCCCGTTAAAGCCTTCCCCCACGCTCTGTGGCGCTCTTGGCTTCCTAGGGGCGCCCTGGACTCCGGCCTCAGTGAGGCCCACGTTCGGCTCTCGGTCCTTGAGCACCCTTGGTCTTCCATCAGAGGCCCTTTCAGCGCGGTGTGGGATACCCTTAAACGTGTGGGGATTACGGCTACCTCGGCTACCTCCTGGACTTGGCCCGATGGGGCCGCCATCAACCCCATGGACTACTGCCCTGTTACGATCCAGGAGCTCGTGTACCGTGCCGTCGGGTGTTGGCAGTTCGCCAAGGTTGCTGACCACTTGGACCTCCCTGAGTTTTGCAACGGTGTCATACTCAGCCCCCTGAAGGCCCTGCTCAGCACCAAGAGTAAGCTCACGGCACCGCAGAGAGGCCGCCTGCGCAGCACCGTGGTTGGGGGACAGTGGCACCAGAAGCGTCAGTGGGCTGAAGGTTACGATACCACGCCTACGTGCCTCCTCTGCCCCCACGCCGAAGGCACGCTGCTGCACAGGCACTGCTCTTGTGTGCGCCTCGACAGCCTCGAAGGCTCACCTGCGTTTCGTG